CGGCATTCCATGATCGGCTATTTGTCCAATGAACATCAGAGATTAGTTGAGCCCGTCGTTGTTTATCAGCTATGTGCCAACGCTGTTGAGATGTGGCAAGTTTACTTTATTTTTTATAACAGTAGTTACATTAGAAAAAAAAAATGAATGAATAAGAATTTAGCCAATCGGAATAAATTTGTACAACTCTTCAAAATTGAACTAGCTTTAGGGTGTGTTTAGTAAGAGGAAAAGAAAATAAGGACCACACAAAGGTATATAACCTAACTGAGGAGAGGGAAGAGAAAAGGGAGGACCTTTCTCGTATTTTAGTACGATTCCTTATTTTAGTCTATCTACATTGAGAGAGATCAAAATTGAGACTTTTTAAAGGAAATCACTCACTTAATCCATTCTCTTCTCTCGTCTCCTACCAAACAACCATGGGTCCTAAAATTTTTCCATTAATTTTCTCACACATTTCTTCCATTTTTCCCTTTAACCAAACAAGCTCCAAGTGTGCATCACTGTATAGAAACTTGCTTGGTTTGGTCCAAGAAACGCAGCCGTGCTTGCGAAATAAAGTTTATTGTCGTTTTTTCATGGACATATTGCCTGGGTCAAGCTTGATCCAGTTAAGCAGCAGTGTCAACTATAAGCATCCGTATTCATTCCAATAGGACCCATCATTTTGTGAGTGATAGGGGCAAATATCATTTTTTTCCAAATAGAATTTGTCATGCATGATTCATCAGAATGCTAGAAAAAAAATATAATAATAAAGATTTAATAAACTGAGGTTAAAAGAAAAAAAGAAGATTTCCAAAAGAAGATACGTGTTGGCAAGCAAAGCATGGTAGTATTTTATTTTATTTTTTTTAAAGACGAAAAATTAACTAACCTCCAACTGTCTCAAGGTATCAAGTAAATTGGAGCGCTCTTCACAAAGAAGCTTAACTTGTGCTTGTATTTCAGAGAACTCGAAGAGCATGATTTGCTCACAATCCTTCACAAGGTTCTCACCAACACCCTCTTCAAGCATCCGCTTCTTAAGCCTTTCTGTCGACACAGACAGATCATTTGGCACAATATTTGAGAGAAGATTGTCGTTTATTGTCCTAGTTAGCGGAAATAGACTCCTTGTTGACACCAAAGCTTGTATCCAAGCCTCTCTATCTCTCTTTGAATCAGTTCTCAAGTGAAGCGTCTTTGTTGCTGTGAATATGTAAAACTTCTTGTCGTCTGACTTGCTTTCTCGAAACGACGATATCTGCTAAACAAGATTCAATTTCATTTCAATTTCAACCCAACACAACACTAACAAAGTTCAAAGTTCAAAGAACAAAGACAGCTGTCTTCTTATAAAAACAAAGACAAAAATATCTTAGCTTTCATCAATTTCGGATAACGAAATTCGTAGCCCCACCGATTTTTACGTTAAAATTATATGAAATTTAAGATGGAGTTCATCGTTCAGATCTAGCATTTGGATTTAGAATATCCCCATTTAGAAAACTAACAAAGAATATGCCTTTATTGTTTTTGGAGACACTAAAATGTAATTTTATATGTTATCACAAAATCCAATCTTTGAAATAGTGCTAAACCCCACCAGTAATATGGTAGTCTCAAGTCCCCACCATGTTCCTTTCTTAATAATCAAAATTCAAATCCCATATCTCAAACGTCAAGCCATGTTTAAAAATATAGAGCTTGATTAAAGGCAACTACAAGAAAATTGTAATTTAAAAAGGAAAAAAAAAAAAACTCAACGACAAAGTCAAAAAGAAAATAAAACAAGAAAACAAAAACAATCCCACTTGTGATATCGCTCAAGAAAAACACAATTTCCACCGTCCGATCACTGTGCTCTTACATTTTCTTCCTTTTATAATAGTTAATATAAACAAAACAAAACCCTTCCCGTCTTGCTATCAGATACAACTCTGTCTAGGAAAGAGAAAAGAAAACAATATTTGTTAAAAAAAAAAATTCCAAGAATTTGGAATAGCTTCGCAGATTGAAGTTCTGATTTATATATATATATATATATATATATATATATATATATTGGTTCAAATAGAAAGTGATGATATCATGAGAACATAATTGGGAAAAGAAAAAAAAAGAAGGGCATTTGAGAAGTTGGAGGTGATGAAATCGGACCAATGGAGAAGCGCTAGATGATGTGACAAGAGATGAATTAACCTAGGCCTACGTCGCAGCCTATCTTTACCCTCTTCCCTCTCTTCCCTCCCACCTGCTGATGTGACGCACTATGCACTAACAACCAGTTAAACTGCGAAAATTAAAACCCCCCAAAAAATAAAAAAACGAAATCAGAAAGTCCCAATGTGGGAAATTGAAAAACCAAAAAACCAGAAAACGAGAAGAGAGAGAAAATACGACGAACAATGCGAGAAACCACCAGTTTTTTTAGCTAAGCTTCTCTCACTCAGATATCAATGGCAAATTAGGCATTTGCATTTCTCTGAAGCAGAGAGAACCATAAATACATTTTTATTATGTGCCAAAAAAAAATAAATAATAAGGGAAGTCGTAGAATCGGAATCGGAATGACGAACGAAACGAATCGTTTAATGCGATTGCAAAATTCAATTTTTGTTCATTTTTTGTTATTTATCTTTACCTTGAGATGGACGATAGCGACGGATTTCTTGTGGGGCTTATTCCGGCGAGCGGAGAGGCGATTGGAGGAGATCTCTCCGATGAAGCGAACGTCGTCGTTTGGAGTGAAGAGATTGAGTGCGGTAATCTCCGGCCGGCGAATCTTGGCGTAGGAGAGGACGCCGTTTCTCAGCATGAACCACCTCGATCTCCACCCCTTCCCGTAATTCGTCCACTTGTACAGCACTCCCGCCACCGTCGCCTCCGCCGCCGCCGCAGCCGCATTCATCTCCGATCTACTCCCACCGGCCAGGCTCGCCGGCAAGCTCCTTGTCCGAGACAGCATCTCCGGCGACTGGTCTCCGATTCCCGCCGCGCTCTCCAGCGAAATGCAGCACAGCGGGTGCATCTCCTTCACTCGCATTTTGTATATGAATATATATAATTTCCAATTTCCAATCAAGATTTTCCTAAACAAAAACCTTACTCAAGATCACATATGTGAATTATGAACTCTGAATGTTCAAAATGCCGGCGAAAACATTTCCTCTTAGATTCAAAAGAAAAGAAAACACGGAGAGAGAGAAAAGTAGCTCTACTCTACTCTACTTTCTCTCTCGGGGGTTGAAGGAGCTCTGAAACTGAGAGAGATTCGATCGGGAAGAGAGAGAGAGAGAGAGAGAGAGTAGAAATCAGAGGTTTACTATTATAAGGAGACGTCCCTTTTACTTAGTTTATTATTAACGATTTCTTTATTTATTTATTTATCCTTATATATGCTGAGAAGAAAAGGAGAGAAAATTGCTTGAATTGATGGCAAAATATATATATATATATATATATATATATATATATATACGGATCTTGGAGATATATATACGAGAGAGAGAGAGAGAGAGTAATGGTATAGGTGGTAGCAATTAAGGTGGAGTGGTGGCAGAATAGTAATTAAATGCCATTGAAACAGATTTCCAAGCTCAGAAAGTGAAACACAGAGAGAGAGAGAGAGAGAGAGAGAGATTTATGTTTGATTAATATTATTTCTTAGTTAAGTTTGTGGCAGATGATCAAAAGAGTGAGAGAGATTTAATTAAGAAGGATTTTAATTAAGGTAAGAGGAGGGAGGAGAAATGAGGTCAGTAAGAGTGGGAGCTGTAATTAATAATAATTATGATGAATATGAGTCTGGCTCGGGGGTCCCCTGTCCCTAACTAGTCACTCTCTTACATACTCCTATTAATTGCACCCCTAATCATTCGTGTTTTCTTAATTATTTACAATTTGTTTAACTGATATTTATCTGTAAATTATGAATCCGTTTAGTTTGCTGATTTAAATTTTTAATTTGAGTTGAGATGTGACTTTATGTGATAATTTTTTAGTGTAACAAAAAAGTTAGATGTGACTATTTTTAAAGACTTTTTACTGTAATAAAACTCAAATTCTAAACTCGAATCGGTAAAATGAACGGAACTTATAAGGCCTTGTTCGTTCATTTCACCGATTTAAGTTTAGAATTTGAGTTTTACTACAGTAAAAAGCTCTCAAAAATAGTCACATCTAATTTTTTTACTACAGTAAAAAGTTTTCACATAAAGTCACATCTCAACTCGAATCAACGAACTAAACGAGCCCACCGATTCGAGTTTAGAATTTAAGTTTTGCTACAGTAAAAAGCTTTCAGAAATAGTCACATCTAATTTTTTTGATATAGTAAAAAACTCTCACATAAAATCATATATAAACTCAAATTAACGAACTAAACATGCACTAAACAGAATACTCATCAATCCTTTAATTACTCGTGGACTCAAGAAAGATGAGGGAAAGTGGATGCGATTGTTGAAGAGCATAATCAAAGCTTTTAAATACCATTTAAAATTAGATTTGGGAATCCATTTTATGCACTATCTGTTTGAGTCTTTTAGTCAATAGTCCTTTACGATTCTGTAAAAGCACTAACTAGACGAGTTTAGAACTTTTTTAGACTCAAATCGGAGGACCATTTTAAGTTTAAGTATGTTGTTACTGCATCATATATTAAGACGTAAGATATCTTAATTATATATGTTTATGATTAATTTTTTGAATAATAATTCTTTGATTCCGACAAATGACCAATTATGAGAAGTGATTTACTTTTCCCTCCAAACTTGTAATGAAAAGCATAGATTGATATATACCTAACTCAACCGATTTAAGTCTTACTACCATTCTTTTTTACAAGTCTAGAGGTTCTTGCATGTACTTTATAAAATAATAGGGTTTTTTTTTTTTTTTTCCTCTTTTACAAGTCTATAATGTTATGGGGGGGTTTTTTTTTATTTTACCGAATTTCAATCTAGATGCTCTAGCATGTACGGGTCTTCTAGCTAGGTAGAATTGATCAAAAAGACTGTTAGTTAGGCTCTTTAATTGGCAATTCCTTTATGTTAGATATGTAGGTAAACAACCGATTGACCAAATCAATCTTTTTGCCTACAAAGTTCTAATTAATCATTCAACATGCTTAAGCTTTCTTCACTTTTTTGCTTATTGCACGTAGAGTTCATGATGAGATCTCTTAAACAGTTTCCAAATTGATTTATGGGTGATATTGGTGTAATCATATGCGAAACTTTGCATTGTTTGTTGGTATATTTTATTATTAATTTTCCCTTTATTTCCTTTCTTACGGTTTATAATTTTAATTAATTAGTTCCCTTTTACTTTACACCCGTGTTAGCTAGGATAAAAAAAATAAAGGTCCTTCATGTTATCATTGACCCTTTTCTGCTATGGATGCAAAGTAGTCATTACATATGTGTCATATATATGTAATAAAGGGCGAGTACAAATATTGCAGCTACAGTGAAGGAGGGACCTCTAGATCAAAGTGATAGTGGTCTCACATCTAGCTCAGAAATGCTAATGTTATTATGATATTTATATATTGTAATCAAAACGAAAAAGAAACAGTACTTTAGACGACAGACCCTCTTAAATGAAAACATAACTCATAGTCCCTCCCTCCTGAAAATTCCTAAAATTAATAAGATAGAAACGTAGCACAATTATATAATACTCGTGATATCATTTCTTTTATACGTCTTTCTTTCTCCCTTATAGGAAGCTTCCCAGTTGTGGTCAGAAACTTGGGATGGTTCAATGCTTAATAGAAGACTCAAGGAACCTGCCTAGCTATGTGTGTGTCTATATCTATATATATATATATATATATATATACACACATACATATATATACACATACATATATATACACACACAAATATTTCGTGGTAATTTACTATATGAGACTTCCGTGATAGGAAATAAAAACTTTTCTATTGATATTGTTGTGTAGTTATAGACCGTCAGGTGTCACATTATCTCAAAATCGAGCATTTATAAGTTAAGTAGGGCTAAGGAGTAAGACACTAACTATAAGGCCCCGTTCATTTCGCTGATTCGAGTTTTGCTACAGTAAAAATCTCTCACAAACAACCACATCTAACTTTTTTGCTACAGTAAAAAGCTCTCACATAAAATCACATCTCAACTCGAATTAAAAACTCGAATTAACGAACTAAACGGGTAATTTTTTATATGTTCTAATCTCAATTTTTTTTACCAACTTTAAATGTCACCATGTCTTTTATTATTTGTTGATGTGATAAACTTAATTTAAACAACTATCAACCAAGGAATAACAGCTCAAAATTGGTACCATAAAGGGGAGTGAAATTTGTATCTCTAAAATTATTCTTATAAATAAAGTAGTGAATGTTTATGCATGTTTGATATAGTTAAAAAGTCAAAATCACACCAAAATGAAATATAGGCAAAATGTAAGTCTACATACTCGTACAATACGACAAATATAATGTTTTTGTATTCTCGTGTAATATCGTTCATACATGCATATAACATTCAATTTATTTTAAGTGTAATACTCAATGTTATAGGTGCTGACTATACTTTTTGAATGTTACACTTAAATAAACTGAATATTCGAATAATGTTATGCAAAAATACAAAAAAATATATATTTGTCGAACTGATCCGGTGATTAGACTTTAAGACATTTTCATTATATATATATATGTGTGTGTGTGTGTGTGTGCAAAATCTGGTACAAATATGATGTTTCAAAATAGAACCCTACTAACTATATTATAAGAATTTTTTTTCTATTATTTAATAAATTTAATAAAAATCTAACTATTGGTATATTTGAATTTTTATTTAGTCAGGTGAAGTCATTGAGCGCGGCTGCTGAGGAATATTTACTCCATGATTTTTTTACTTGAACATGAGGAAAAAGGTGGAAGTTTTTGCATACCAAGGTTGCCCACTTGACCCTACTCAATTATTTATATGTGTTTATATTGGTAGGCCCCTTTTATTAAATTATTTTTTAAAATTCTTCTTTTGCCAACTAACCCGTTGAACCATTTGCCCTTGAGAAATGCCTCACATCATGAGCATTATATTTGGCCGACACATATTTACATTATATGTATAGCTGCATACCAATATGCTGAGCCTGCAAAAGGAAGGTTGTTAATTAGTAGTAGTTCATCAATTCTGCGACCATACTGCGTAGCCATCTTCTTAGGTAGGATAATTACATTGTCTCAGCATATATAATTGATATAAATATATAATGCAAAATGTCATGCCTAAATATTAGTTGGTTAGCTAGTGAAAGTTTAAGGTGGGGTACTGAGTTGTGACTGTTGTCCAATAATAAAGCGTTTTACGTAGGATCTGAGACAGCAACACATTCGGCTGATAACTATGTGAATGAAATGTGCTATCAAATTTAATTAAATTAAATTGTACCGAGAAATTAAACTATTAGCTCAAATCAATACATTCAAAACCATCTGATTTGAACCCACAAACTGATTAAATTCTCTGTTCACAACTACTTAATTTCTTCAAAAGGATCAAGATTTAAGTCTTGCCAAGAATTTTAAATCTCTCACCTCTAGATCACTCTTGTCGAAAACATGAGGTTTAGAATTTATTGATTATCATCCTCCCTTAATAATGTAAGAGAAGAAACTATACATATGTGTGTGTATATATGTATAAGAGACAAGAGAGCGATGGTTATACGTAGGGTCGTAATGAATAATGTGTTATATATATATATATATATATCAATATATATATATGTATAAGAGACAAGAGAGCGATGGTTATACGTAGGGTCGTAATGAATAATGTGTTATATATATATATATATATATTGATCAATATCTGACAAAGTGGGAGCAACAGATGGAGCAAGAAGAATAATTAGACTCGTAACACATCTCTGCACCTCACATGTGGCTCACTCTTCCACTCCCCACGCTTCCCATTAATATTCCTAATTTTCTTTTCTCCTCTCGAGGTCTTTCTTTAAAATAAAAACAAAAAACAAAAAACAAAAAATCTCAAACTTCATTTTGTGTGCTAGTTTTTGCGCGTCCTCGTTAAGCTACAAAACTTTAACTTACTATGCCCTCTTTGATTCCAATCTCTAGATTATTATTATTCGTAAGGTGCTAATTTATCTCACATATTGCCTTATTTGGGCGAAAAACATATTAAAAGGGATTGATAATAGTGTTTAACATATTGGATAGATATTCTATTATATAGTTTTTGCATTGGTCATTATCATGTTTCTTTTTCTATTTTTTTAATGTGTAAATAACAAAGAAAGAATAATATATATATATATATATGTG